GCGGGGGGGAGGGGGGGGGGAGGGGGAGAGGTGTCACCGCAGGATTACGGAGGGTGTAGCCTCTGTAGCAACAGGAGGGCAACTAGGCAATGCGCGCGGTCCAGGGCGGGGCGAGCGGGGACGCTGGGGCGGCTCTCTGAGAACCCGGCCGGCTGCTGGCGGCTGCTGCCCTGCGCTGCTCCTCGAGCCGCGAGCATGGCACCCTCGGCCTCACCACCCCTCAGCCTCGCGCTCCTCGGCTTGACTGGCCCCGGATAGCGGGGTCGGGTAGGTACCCTTAGAGGTCCCCTGACGCGCGCACACGACACAACAAATGAAAGAAAGATAAACGCCACACACACACACACACGCTGGAAACGCAATAAGTGTGTGTCAATGCCCATATTCGTACCCTTAAAGGAGATAAGGTGGTGTGAATTTTCCTTTGACATTCACACCCTCTTCGTCCTCCACCCTTTATACCCGTAAGGGGCCATGGCCCCTGCGGCAATATCGAGAGTATGCAATCCCGCAACACTGCTGCGTATTCACAGTTACACCCGGTACGAGTGACGACCCCAAACGCACCGGGTGATTCAGAGCACGCGCCGCCGTGTTGCGGGTTTGCCTATCCTCGACTCGGCGGGCGCACGGGTCCAGGTCTGGGGAGAGGCAAACCCGCAACACGGCGGCGCGTGCTCTGTGCGACATTTGCACACCTGGGTTTCCAGTGTATAACATCTGTGCTATAGCCCGACTTTTTGAAACATAATTCACATAATTTCGTTGTTTGTTTTTTTTCTCCGCGTGTCCTCTGTATCTGATACCAGATTTGTTTTGTGCTTCATAGGAGCTGCTGTGGGGCGCCAAGCTCTCCGAGGATCGGGCGCTGCTGCAGCAGGCCGCCAACCTCCCAATCGTGCTCACGCCCACCTGGGAGGTGCTGCAGGTGAGAGAGACGCCCGCCTCGAGGACATATTCGGCACCCTGATGATAGGATCCTCAGTTAAACTGTTGTTTAAACCAGAGTGTTCCAACTAAGGCATGTGTACTAAAGAAAAAGTGCAGCTTAACTGTAGGAAAATATACCTCTAACTGGAGAGTCCGAAAAAAGTTAGTAGTACTTTTTCTGTAGTTAAACCAAAATTAGCATTTTTCCTCGTTTTACTCGATTTTAGTTTACCTGAAGATCCTTCTACCCGGGCAAAGCCAAACAGGGGATGATTATTTTTTTTAAATGCCCAAACTTCTTGTTTGCTTGATAGAATATCAATTGGCATACAATGGTGTACCAATTCGCTCGTCCCTAACTCAAAGCACGCACGGCGCAGCGCCTCTAGAAAAACCAAGTATCTTTGCGCGACCCTCGAGAAACCAAGTATCGTTGCGCGGCTTTCGTGAAACCAAGTATCGTTGTGCGACTCTAGTGAAACCACGTATCTCTATTTTTTGGTGATTTTTGAAACCTATACCATTCGATAGAGAAAATTTCCCTCTATTCAAATATATAGTTCCTAAAAAATCGTCAAAAAATGCGTTACGTGGTTTCACTGGAGTCTCGCAACGGTACTTGGTTTCTCGAGCGTCGCGCAAAGATACTTGGTTTCTCTAGAGGAGCTGCGCCGTGCGTGCTTTGAGTTAGGGACGAGCGAATTATTGCAAACTACACAGAGATATTAATCTTTCCTAAAATGCCACGTCATTCCTTGTTAGTTTCAGTTTTAGATGGTATAGTCTGCTAAAGAGTGCGCTATAAACTGCAGCTTTATCCATGGCATTTAGTTCAAATACATTTAGGGGAAGTTATCGGCTCTATAGGGATAGGGTAGCTCGCAGACGGAGCGGGGGAAGTGGGGGAACGGGGAGAGGTAGGTGCGGGCGGGCTAGTCTACTTTTTTAAAACTACGAGGCAAATAAGCGGCCACCCTGTATGTTGCTGGGCTCGACCCGACACCACCAGACCCGACCTCCGCGCCGCGCTCGCCCGGCTTGGCTTTTCGATTGGTGGAGGGCCCGCGGCCAATGGCTGCGGCAGCTCTGCCGCTCCCCACCCCGCCACACCCCCCCCTGCCACACCCCCCCCCTCCCCCGCCCCTCCGCGCCACGCCTACCGCCAGGCCCACGCCCGTCTTTGACGCCATCGCCATAATTCTTCCCCCTTGTACGTCTTCTACGTCGCCTAGGTCGGAGCTCGTTGGGGGCGTCAACGGGTTGTTTGGGGACGCTTTGTGAAAAATGTCCACATCAGTCGACAGTATTTTTACTCTTTTTCTTTTTTGTTCGGTAGTTTACATTTCCTCCAACAACTGACTGATCGTTTTTACCGCAGGAGACCACGGCGCGTCTGCTCTTCATGGCCGTGCAGTGGGTGCGCTCGCTGGCCCCGTTCCAGACCCTCTCCAAGAGGGATCAGGTAAGACACCAGCCAGATATCCATCTTCGAAAATGCCGAATAGCCGATCGAGTCAACGGGAATTTGTCACCCCAATAATGGACATGAAGGTTTTTATTCTACAAAAATACAAAATGTTTCGGGAATCTCTTTAGGATTTTTTTCCTGGAAAGTTTTATTTCTTTCAATTTTCCTAAAAAAGTTTCCGTCCTTTTTTTTCCGGAAAAATTTTGACTTTCCAATTTCCGACAATTTGCTCTAAACGGGTGTGATGATTTGCCGCTCCAGTTGCTGCTGCTGCAAGAGTCGTGGAAGGAGCTGTTCCTGCTGCACCTGGCGCAGTGGTCCATCCCCTGGGACCTGTCGGCGCTGCTCGACTCCCCGCAGGCCCGCGAGCGCCTCCCGCAGGACGAGCTCACCGCCGCCGAGCTCAAGACCATCCAGGAGATCATGTCGCGCTTCCGGCAGCTCAGTCCGGACGTGAGCGAGTGCGGCTGCATGAAGGCCGTCATCCTCTTCACTCCCGGTAAGTCGAAACGATATCACAACGATATCACAACGATATCCAAACAATATCCAAACGATATCGAGCGAATATCAAAACGATATCGATAGGCCTATTGACCCGGTATTGGAGCGATATCGAAACGATATTGGAAAGATGTCGAAACGACATTGGGACGATGTCGAAACGGCATTGGGACGATGTCGAAACAACATTGGAACGATGTCGAAACGACATTGGAACGATGTCGAAACGATATGGGAACGATGTCGACATGATATCGAAACGATAAAACGTTAGCGCAGCGACATCGAAACAAAGAGATCGAAACGATAAAAATGACTCCGTTCCCCCCAGAGACCGGCGAGCTGTGCGACTCGCAGCCCGTGGAGATGCTGCAGGACCAGGCGCAGTGCATCCTCAGCGACTACGTGCGCACCCGCTACCCTCGGCAGCCGACGCGCTTCGGCCGCCTGCTGCTGCTCGTGCCTAGTCTCCGGTCCGTGCGCCAGGCCACCGTCGAGCAGCTCTTCTTCAGGGAGACCATCGGCGAGATCCCCATCACGCGCCTGCTCGGCGACATGTACCACATGGGCTACGCCTGAGCCTGGCACTCTTCCTATCTTTATCATTTTCATCCTTAATACTATAATTTTGCGCACAGAAATGTTTAAAAAATAAACAAATATTGAAATAAACGTAGCTTTACTTTAAATACAGAATGACAACTGTCTTTTAAAAAAATGGGAGGACAGAAGCAGGAAAATAGGTGGTGCCAGGTAGAACTCACAACAGAGTAAATAATCCTATTTCAATGTGCTCTTCTGAACTCACTCAATTGATTTATGAATGAAGTATTCTTGAAATTCTTTCCATCAGGCTATGGCATGAACTAAAAATTGAATGGTATTGATGTTGTGTATGGTATGGGAATCGAAAGCTACATCTGGAAAAAACTGATGTAAGATTTGTGTCAATTGTTACATTGTTGAAATTCTTGTGAATAAATTTTCTTAAAAATTCAAA